ATGGAAAAAGTCTGGACCTGACGCATCAGGTTCTGGTGGAGGGCGGTACTGAGGAGGAGGGGGGTATGGAGGAGCAGGATCCCAAGGTTTGTAGCTGGGTTACTGTAAGAAGGTGGGGTAGAGGGAAGAGTGAGAAAGAGGCCAGCCCTGAATTGAAACACCCCGATAAATATTCCACATTGCAGGATGTTGGGGATATTAGTTCAGGGGTGCCATTGCTGGAGCAAGACGCTTCCACGATCCGCAGGGGGAGTGACTGCTACAGTACGGATGGGAGCAGGATGGAGGGACAGGAAAGACAGATTTTGGTGGTGGGGGATTCCATTATCAGATGCACAGAGAGGGTAATCTGCCATCAGGACCATGAGCATCGAACAGTCTGCTGCTTACTGGGGGCTCACTTTTGACACATTGCGGAATGGATTGACAGGTTACTGGATGGGATTGGGCATGACCCAGCTATCATGGTGCACATCGGCACCAATGGCAAAATAGGAGGCAAATTGAGTGTCCTAAAAAGCGAGTTCAGAGACTTAGGTGCTAGGTTAGAGAAAAGGACCTCCTCGGTAGTATTTTTTGAGATACTGCCAGTGCCACAAGCCACTCCAGAGAGGCAGCGAGAGTCGAGAGAACTGAACAAGTGGCTTCGGAGCTGGTGTCAGAAAAAGAGGGCTTTGAGTTCATGGAGAACTGGGCTGACTTCTCAGTCAGTTGCCAACTCTATAGCAAAGATGGGCTGCATCTAAATTGGGAACGTGCAGCAATTTTGGGAGAGAAAATTGTTAAAAGACTGGAGGAGCTTTTAAACTAGATAATGGGAGGGAGGGAATAAAAATGGATACAATAAATATAGAGCAAATAACTACAGGGGCAATTCATATAGAGAGCAGTAGTACAAAGGGGGACAGAGGGCTCACTCCAGTCGATCTAGTCAATCTAATCACTCCAGTCAATCTAATTAGTAATGTATCAAGCATACCGAGGTCTAATAAAAAAAGTAGTTGGGCTCCAGAAATAAGTAATAATAAAACCAAACTAAAATGCATGTACACCAATTCTAGAAGTCTAGCAAACAAATTAGAGGAGCTTGAACTTGCTACTCGAACAGGACTTCGATATAGTGGGAATATCAGAAACTTGGCTAGACAGCGCACATGACTGGTCAACCAATGTACAGGGGTACAACCTGTTCAGGAGGGATAGGGTTGGTAGAAGAGGGGAAGAGGTATGCATGTAAGTAAAAAACAATCTAACTGTGCACATACGAGATGACCTCATGACCAAAAGATGCGATGGGGTAGAGTCCTTGTGGCTAGAACTAGATAAGACTGATGCTAGTCGTAAACTAATTGTGGGTGTGTGTTATAAACCCCCAAACATAGGGGAAGAGGAGGAGGCTCACCTACATTCCCAAATAGAAATTGCTGGTAAGCAGGGAAATGTTGTTATAATGGGTGACTTCAATTATCTGGACATTGATTGGTCAAATGGAACCTCTCATTCTATAAAGGCTGGCCGTTTTGTGAACCTGTTGCAGGACAATTTCATGGATCAGATGGTTGATGTTCCAACCAGGAAGCATGCTATACTAGATGTATTAATTTCCAATAGTTGCAGACATAGCGATTAGGGATACATTGGGTAATAGTGATCACAGGATGATTACTTTTAATGTTGGGTACAGATAAGAGAAGTGGATTGGTTTGAAAAAAAAAAAAGGAACACTTCGATAAGCTGCGTCATCTAGTATGACACTAAATGGGACAAATTATTTCTAACAATGAACACAGAGAAGTGGGATAGTTTTAAGAATACATTACACAATACTATTGCCAAGTGCATACCATTGGGTAAAATAAAAGATCAAGAGCTAAGCCTGCATGGTTAAATACAACGGTAAGACAACACATCAAAGAAAAGAAGATAGCATAAAATATAAGATGGAGAGGACTGCATTGGCATTCCAGAGCTACAAGGAATGCAATAAGAGATGTAAACATGAAATACGAGCAGCTAAAATAGCTTACGAGAAGCATATCGCCACAGTCAGTAAAAAGAACCCCGAAAAATTCTACCAATATATAATCAGTAAAAGGATAACAAAAGAGCAAGTCGGCCCAATAAAAGATGAAAACGGGAGATTCATTACGAATGACAGGGAGAAGACTAATGTGTTAAATTCATGTTTTTGCTCAGTATGCACTCAGAAAAAAGATGGGTTAAATGGAGATAAGAATGTGAGTAGCTTAGTGCGTAAGTTATCGCAGTGGTTGACAGTAGCAAACAACTTAACAAAGACTTGAAAAACTTAATGCAAATAAAGCATTAGGACCAGATAACCTGCACTCCAAGGTACTTAAAGAACTCAGCCAGGTTATAGTAAGACCATTATTCCTCATTTTCAAAGACTCCATAATGACTGGTAGGGTGACTGACTCCAAAATGACTGGTACCAAGTGACTGACGGAAAGCTACAGTAGTACCAATATTCAAAAAGGGTTCAAGATACCCATCTGAGACTTACAGACCAGTCAGTTTTAACTTTTTAACTTTTAACTTTTAAAATTTCCGCCGGTTCAGCCCCCCTGCGACGCGGACGCTCGCAAGGGACGGAACCCGGAAGACGGATGCCGGCATCGGCCGGAGGACACTGCGGGGATCGTGGACAAGGTAAGGGACGCTACCCTGTAATCCCGAGTGTGGCTCGGGGTTACCGCTTATGGTACTGAAAATTAACCCCGAGCCACACTCAGGAATACCGCCAAGGAGGTTAATGGGTACTCCACTAGGGAAGTCAGAAATGGAAAAAGATTTGGGGGTCACAGATTAAATAATAGCTTGCAATGCCAGGCTGCAGCAAATGAAGCTAGCAGAGTACTCTCCTGTATTAAAAAGGGAAACCTAAAGTGTTATTGCCCATATGTGGCAAACTCCTACTGTGCCCATCACGGACGATCTCCAGCCGGCAGGGAGAGAGGTACGGTGGGAGGGAGCGGGGGGAAGGACGGACCAGCTGCAGTCTTATTACAAGTGATCTCGGCGACATCGCAGAGATCATTGGTAACCAAACAAGCATCTTCCCCGCTCTACATTTAGCCCTGCTTGCCCAAAGCAGGGCTAATTGTAGAAAGCCACCCACCCGGTGCCCAGAATTACATGTCCCGGCATCGGGGATCCACACCCCTGCCGCCCCTCTGCTCCCTGCCGGGCCTCGGTGGCCTTGTGGCAAATCGGGCCCTTAAAGATTCCTGAATTGGAGAAATCTCTGCTACCGTCTATAAAACCAAAAAGTGGGGGGGGGGGGATATACTGTGTTACACTCTGAACTTGACCCTGAGAGTAGGTTTGGCCTGCTTGTCTTGGATGTAGCAAGTACCACTTACTCCTATTGTAATGTTTATGCCCCTAAACTGATTCTGCCAAAATTTTACACAAAGCTTATACAAAAATTGTTGGAGAGGGATCTTCTTAAATTAGTGGTAGTGGGGGACCTCAACGCTGCAATAGACCCACTTTTAGACCATTCACATCTTCATAGGCATCAATGGTTCATTTAAAATATTTAGTGCTCCAAACTCCTCTTGCGGATGCTTGGAGACTTTTGAATCCAATTGAACATTACTACAGCTGTTATTGCAAGGCTCATGCCACATTTTTGAGAATCTATTATATTCTGGTTGCTGAGAACCCCTTTCCCAGTGTCACCAGGGTGTCTATTGCCAATTTATAGTTATCAGATTATGCTCCCCTTATTTTATTGTTAGCCTTGAGATCTCGTATTTCCACATCTAGAGGTTATGAGAAGCCACATTATTGCATATATATTCATAGTCATAGTTAGTCAGGTTGAAAAAAGACACATGTTCATCGAGTTAAACCTATAGACTTATATAAAAAAAAAAGAAGAAAAGCCTACAACAGAACGCTATGCCCACAGTTACCTACTGTTAATCCAGAGGAAGGCAATACTGAGGAAATTTAATGAGAAACATAGGCGTTATACAGCCTTGCAACAACAGGTTACACAGGCTTATCTTTCCCACCTCGTGCAGGATTCACAACAATTGAAATTAGCTTGGCAGACCACGATGATGGCATTTAATGCTGTCCCCCCAAGTTACTATGTCTGACCCTGGAAAAAGTCGTCGGAGGCAAAACGTACGTCGGGCGCGGTTAGTTGACGTCAGGTGGTTTTGTGGATGAGGGGAGGCTCTCTTCAGCTTGGTTACACCTGGAGATCATGGATTGGGATCCCTAAAGACAGAATAACCCCTCTGGAAGTTAAACGGGGAAAGTGTTTTAGATCTTCTCTGTGAGAGGTCTGAACATAAGGTGAGAGGCAGCTAATGCCGTGTGCACGGGTGAAGATCTAATCACAAAGCAACTACACAGGTGGATATATTGTTTAATAGCTAACTTGGCTATAAGAGTTTTAGTCCTCTATGTTTAGACATATGCATTTATACCTGATTTGGACATTTTGACCTGGTTTATGCACACTAAGTATTGTTTAGATTTATGCATGTTGGGTTTTTTTCACTCACTGAAGAATTAAATCTGAATAGAGAGATTAAGAGCATGACACAGTTTAAGATTTATATGTCTGGCCTAATAACTCATAATACATTCTATAGGGGGGTAATAAAATTAGCTCTTCACCTGCATGGTTGACGGGGTCTACATATTTTGCGGAATAAAGACCAGGTCTCCAGTACCTTGACTACCTCGCCTGCTTTTATTATGGCCCATTTTAAAAATTACTATAACCAGCTTTATACTGCCCAACACACTTAGCCTGTCCTGTTGGAATCTTCATTTGCCAAAACGGGCCTCTCAAAATTGACAGTGGAGCAGAGGAGTGTTTTGGATTCTGTTATCCTACTGGAGGAAGTTCAGTCAGCCATTAAGCAGTTGGCAAACAACACATCTCCTAGCCCCTATGGCTTCTCAGCTTCAATTTATAAATTACTTCTGCCTGATCTTAGTCCTTTATTAATATAATTGTACAATGATATATTGGGGTTGATTTACTAACCTTATAAACACGCCACGAACAAGTATACACCTCTGTAGTGTGTTCCCTCCCAGCATGATCTATTGGTGGAATCTAGACACCTTTGTAGTGTGTACACACCCAGCAGGTTTGTTGTGCAAAGCCCTGCATGAATTGCAAGGAGATGTTGTGTAAATTAGTTCTACATTGTGTTGCTTGCGTTGATGAATGCAGGAATGTAAATGCATGAGCTTACCATTTTTGTCTAAAC